GTTGCGGGGCGACCATCGGCGGTGCTTGAGACGAAGAGAAAACATCGTCTGGCTGCACAGGGGAAACGAACGGGGGTAAAGGAGTGCTGGGAGTAGTTTGCTGTCTCAACGGGCCAGATGTTGAGGGCACGGAGTCATCGTCCGACGGAAGGTTATCCCATGGTTCAAAGGGTAATCCCGCACCAACTCTTCCCTTGCGCACCTAAGGAGGTCAAGAAAAAGTCAGCGCGTCTTCTAGAAACGCATTGACGCGCGAAACGCGTCATGATCGGTATCAAACCAACATACCTTCTTGGTAAGCACGACATTCATACGCGCAAGCGTGTCAAGAGAAGGTAAGCTCGGGCGGCTTTTGAATGCCGGACGCTGATGCGCAGGGCGCGCCCGGGGTAGCGGCGAAGGAGGGGTCGATGAAATTAAAGATGAGGGTGCTTTTGAAGACGAGGCCATTATGGCCAGATTTTTGCCGGGGTCAATTAAGGGTGAACGGGGAATAGATGGCGCCGCTGGAGCGTCGAGGGCGGCAGCTGATCCAGGTGCTGGGTTATTCCTCCACGACGACTCTGACGGAGCGGAAGTTAGATTCGCAAACGGGTCGTCGTCGAGAAGGAAGTCAGGAGGAGGTGAGACGCGCGCCGACAAAGAGCTGAAAGTCATGCTCCTCTTCCTATCTCGTTTGTTGGTCGAATGTGGGGACTCTGGGATAGTGGCGGATGCAAATGTCGATGTAGACGCGCGCGGAGACAAAGATGTCGCGCCTGAAAGAACACGAATCCTCGATGTGAAAGTTGTGGGACTCGTAGGAGGTGAAGTCGTCGGCGAAAGAGGTCCTTGGAGGAACGAAGGCACCAGGATGGCCTGCAGGGAACTTCTGTTTGTACGTCTCTTCGTCATGGTCGCTATTGTGTCGTCTGTCGAGGGTTCAAAACCGGGTTTCAATTCCGGGATAAGGTTAAGGAGTGGTTTGGCGGTGTGCTGCTCGTCGTGGTAGTAATGGAATAGGTCGGCGTAAAATTCTACAGGGGCAGTAGAATCGGTTTGAGTGGGCGAATAGCCGGGATGGGAGTCGTATCTCTGCCCAAAATCCGATTTTCCAGTAACGCGAGCCTGAATCGAGTAAAAACGAGTGTGAGCGTGTGCCAAATGATGGATTGAAGCATATGGGAATTAAAGGGTATGTGATTGTGTATTCCGAGCAGAGCGGTCAAAACACTCGTTTTCAGAAGTTTTGGCAGGACATCACCGGACGACACGATGACGCCATGTCAGGTCGTCATCCTACGTTTCATCCCTACGCGTCTCCAAGCAGACGATAATTCATACGCCACACCAAAATACCATCGCTATGCGATAAATACTAAAACGGCTACTCACCAATACAGTGACCGACTCTGCGTGGTCTGAAGACGTGCGGGAGGCTGCCAATCGTTCCCTCGGCGGGTCTCTGACTAGAATGAGTGGCTGGCCAACGAGAGATTGCTCGTGCGGGCGTAAAGCGGGGTATGGATCTTGGTGACCCAGTACTGGGACGTTGGGTATAGTTCGACGCCCGCCACTGTCAGCCCTTGCGTCGAGAAAATGCGAAGGGGTTTGCGGGGGTGATGATGGTGGAAAAGGAATGCGCGAGCGCTCTCCCGCCAGCGACGACATATTGGATATTCCTCGTACTGCGTGGGTAAATAATGAAGGATCTTGTTCCTTCCTTTCCCCACCCGGAAAAACGATTTCTGTTGAAATTCGGCGCCGATTGGTGTTGAAAACGTGTGGAAAAAATACGGGGACCAAAAAAAACCTAGGGTACACGATCGGTTCCGGCTCCGTTCTTATGGTGTATGCCTGATTGGGTTCTCGCCTCCTGAGGGTATTGGTGGCTGGACGACAAGCTGCTGAAGCGTCCTGGCCACCCCGTATATCGGGGAAGTGGTATATGGGAGCGCGGAGGGTATGGATGGGAGGAAAGATAGTTAACAATAGTCTAACGACCTTTAAGAGTTAATTGTCAAGAATGCTTGGCGGCCATCATTCTCCGTCACATCCGTTGATCAATTCACGTCCGAGTCCGCCTCCCGCCTTTCCATCCTTCGGCGCTCTCGCCCACTGTCGTCCTGATGACACTCCGACGACAGGACGAAAACATACCCAGGCCAAAGGTGAGCGCAATTTACTACCTTCACAGTTTCGTTCATTTTGTCTCTGGCATTCAAGGAAATTTCTGTCGTTGATCATCGGCCCTGCTATGTATTTTCGGAAATCAAAATCAACAAGATCACGAGTTGAACTATGTCCTGTTATACAGAGTGTTGATGTGAGCGTGTATGTTGCAGGTAAATATGTTGCGTTCTCCTTGCAGTCGAACCGATTTTTTCCAATATTTTCCCTGTCGCTCTCTTTCAACAAAACCCGAAAAGCCTACGACTAGTACATATATTCAACCGAGTATGTCTTTATCTCCTCAGCTCGTTGCCGAATTAAATTCACAACTATACTGTAATATTCCCAGAATCATATCCGATCTGACAGGCTCTATCATCAGCGCCCGCTTGACCGCAACTTGGGTCACCAAAGTACCCATGTCCTATGTGGCAGCGGGCGCCAATTCCCATGCATGTCTTGCGTGAGGCTCCGGAATACTCCGACCTCTCCCTCTGAAGTTTCTAGTAAATACTCTACTTCTCAGGCAGCTGCACTCTGTAACGTAGGCGAGCTGCACTGGATCGTTCATCTCGAACAGCTCGACCGCCAAAGACTGAGCGTCCGGAGTCAGTTTCATGGCTATTCAGACCGTCACTTATCCGAGATTACTTGGCCCTGGGTTGACTTACGGTCTCTTACGGTGCGGGATGGAACCGATGTGCTCGAGCGAGTAAAGTCCGCCACAACGCACCCACTCCACGACATCGCATACCGTCGTGCATGTCCAAGTCTGGCGTCAAGTTGAACAGCGGCATTCTGGCGACGGTTCGCAGGTCCACCATCCATACGCATGATTCTGTATATGATAATCAAATTACTGCGAATGAAATCATGTTGTTAACGCAAGTTTTACCGGGAGTTCACATGGTTGCAACGAGACGATAAAACATAGATAAAAATTCGGCGAGACGCAATAATGCTGAGGATTCTTTCATTATCGATTATGTTAGCAGTTCGCAAATTCGTACTACTTAAGTCCTCGGGTACATAGATCAACAACGTAAGCCACTCCTCAAAGGAATGTCGTCATCAATCACTCAATAAGTTATCTTATCTGTGCGGGCAAACCTCTTCGAAAGGCCTCATCAGATCAAGAAGATGTAAAAGGTCAAAACCGGTGAATATCACTGCAAGCCCTGGTACACACCTTTTTGGGCTCCCCTCTTCTCTCACTGACCCCGGCATGATGCATCTTCCTCTGGCGCCCACGTCGACATGATCCCCTGCACCCAAAAGTCCGCACCCACTCCCCCGCCAGAGACCGCCGACTCCGCGTCCTCTGCCCCCCAGCACTCCCCCGAGGTTGTTCGCCCCCTCAACGTCACCGACGCCCTCAACTATCTCGACGCCGTCAAGAACCAGTTCCACGACAGCCCCGATGTCTACAATCAGTTCCTCGACATCATGACGGACTTCAAGAGAGAGAAGTGAGTCCCCCACCCCCCGCGCCGCCTCGTCACCCTTTCAACCCAAGCCACTCATCTCTGTCCGTACGCAGAACCGACACCCCCGGCGTCGTCGGCCGCGTCTCGCGTCTCTTCGCAGGGAATCACAACCTCATCCAGGGATTCAACACCTTCCTACCGCTGGGATACCGTATTGACATCTCTGCAGACCCATCCGACCCAAATACCGTCACCATCACGACCCCGACGGGCACCATCACCCAGAACACGAACGGCACCATCTTGTCCACATGTTCAACACGAGATCTCATCCCTCCCGTCCAGCCCCCGTCCTCCAGTAACCAGACCTCTGCCGCCGCTTCCTTCCTCGACAACCTTCACGGCAACGACGACAAGAACACGGTTGAGCGACAGCCCCAGGGCGAGTTCGACCATTGCATCCAGTATGTCAACAACATCAAAGCGCGCTTCGCCGACGACCCCAATACCTACAAACAGTTCTTGGACATCTTGCGGACTTATCATGAACAAATGAACCCACAGGATGTGCGTTGCGCACTTTCTTTCAACAAAAAGGAACTAACTGTTTATATTGCATCCTTTCACGGTCTCAGATTTATAGCCAAGTTCAGATCCTATTCAAAGATGCTCCTGATCTCCTAGCAGAGTTCAAGAAGTTCCTCCCAGACGTTATCCCAGCGAGTCCTGGCCATAACGGTATGGCGCCCTTCCCTCATGGCTACACTGGGCCAGGGTACCCACCTGAAGAATCAAGTCCTCCGAATGGGTACACAGATCAACAACGTAAGTCACTCCTCAAATGAATAAGGTGCAATGTTCTCATCAATATTAATCACTCAATAAGTTCTCTTATCTGTGTGGGCAGACCTCTTCGAAAGGTTTCATCAGATGAAGATAGATAACTAGCCGTAAGACGTGACTTAAATCCAAGATGCAAAAGGTCAAAACCGGTGAATATCATCCATTTCCCAGGTCAAGACCAAGGTTTCATTCACAACTCACTGGCCTTGTTACGAATACGTTTTTCTCCTTATCTTTCTTCCTCTCTTGTTCCGTAAAGCTGCGCAGCTTGTCGTCCGTTTGTGTACTTATATTAGACTGAAAATATTGAAGGGCGTTTAGAAAGAGTTCGAAATCTGTGAAATCGACTATGCATGTCCTGAGGCTTCCACAATGCGTACATGAATAGAATCTTTCTTTCAACGAGTTCAGATGGCAGCCATGTCAGATTTGTCAAGCCTTTCGACGGGCTGACCAGGCCTTAACCTCTTATCTAGCTGATCATTGAGTAGGATAGCACAAGGCCGACCCCACTTTTTTCCCTGGATACCATATGGTATTAATGTAGCCCTTGATATCTCTTAGATCGTTCTTTATCGTGGTGAGATGGCCGAGCGGTCTAAGGCGCCAGACTAAGGATCAGAGCATTTCTTGCTCATCGCTGACTTTATTCAAGTTATCTGGTCCTCCGGGGCGTGGGTTCGAATCCCACTCTCATCAAACCCTTTTGAGTGGAGTGGATAGGTTCTTTTTTTAGCGGTTTAAAGCGGAAACGGGGGAGGAGGAGAAGGTTATTCCGCTTGAGCGCTTCGTCCGGAGCTGTTTGATCTTTAATTAAATGTATTTAATAAAAGTGAAAATAGTCATATCGGACGCTTATCTTCAACTCCTCTTGACAGATTAGAGGTCTAATCTAGGTATTGGAAGCAAAAAGGTTGAAGCAAGGTCCCCAGTTTTAGGCTAAACTTAGAAGACCGGCCCGGTGGTGCGTGATCGTAATATCGCGAGCACGTGCCTGTCGCGTACCCCCTGAATTTACCACGGTTCAAACATTCCTCAAGTTCAACTGAACAACGACAAAGATCTCAAGAACGCCTTCAAGACATCCGTCAAGATTATCGTAAATTAGGGCAGTGCTTCGACCATGTCCTTCAGTCGAAATACCACCGTGCCCAGCACTCCAAATTCGTCCTTGTCGAAAGCGGGTCGGCCTGCACCATTTACTCCCAAACGTCCTCTGTCCGCTCAATCCAACTCATCATCAACTTCAACAGCAACCAGCACATCGTCTTCAGCAGACCAGCTCGCTGCGCGCCTTTCACGCGTCAACACTCCAATCCTTCTGAATTCAACACACAAGAAGTATAAAGCGCCATTGTCAATCGAGTCGCGCTCAAAGACCAACACATCTTTCAAGCCCAGATCTACACTGGCACCTGTACCTGGGACACCGACCAAGAAAGATGGATCGCACAGTCGTCCAAGGACACCCAACACACCGAGGAGCCGAAGTGGGGCTGAGAGCCCATGTTTGATGCCTTCAACGAGCGAGATGGACGTAAGCAACGTTGATCCAGAGCAGGTGCTTGTGGATTCGCAAACAGTAGAAGCGGGCGATGTGAGCGGAGATATCGACGAGGCGTGGCTGAAGAGCCTAAAGCAAGATCATGGTCGGGAGGACAAGGTCATGGTGTCTATTCGGTAATGCCTCAACATTGCATTTATCTTCACTCGAGGGAACTGGACTGACCATTTATTTTATCGCAGAGTGCGACCGACTGATTTAGTATCAGCATGGATCCCAAACACCACCGCAAATTCTCTGAACCTCGATCCAAATTTCGCAAAGAATACCACATCAAGTACGACCGGCGCATCATCATTCAACTTCGATGCCGTCCTCACAGGAACGCCCAATAAACCCATCTATACGACCGTTGCACGCTCGCATGTGCAAGCAGCCATGGAAGGATACAACGCCGTCATCTTCGCGTATGGACAAACCGCATCTGGAAAGACCTTCACGCTGTCTGGAGACGATGCAGAGCCAGGAATCATCCCTCGTGCCATGCGCGACGTCTTCGGCTTCATTAAGAGGACACCAGAAAGAGAATATCTGCTACGATGCAGCTATCTCGAGATATACAACGAGGCCATCATCGACCTTCTCGCACCACCGATGATGGCCAAAGCAAGTCCAGTACAGATCCAGGGCGGGGCAGGTGGTGATGTAATTCTCGCGCCGTTACGAGAGGAGGTTGTGACCAGTCTAAAGGGTGTCAAAGAAGTCATGCGAAGAGGTGAGGGTAACAGGCGCACAGCCTGCACCGACTGGAACGAGCGCTCCAGCCGAAGTCATAGCGTCTTTCGCCTTGTGATAGAAAGCAGAGAAAGAGGATCGTCCAATGACTCGGATGACGAAGACGACGAGCCAGTTGTGTCTCCTCCCATGAATGGTCGACATACTCCTGGACTGAACGGACGCCAGACGCCGGGCCTTAGTGGGCGTCAAACTCCTGGACTCGGCCGCAGCCAAACCCCAGGTCCTGGAGGACCGAAGCTGCAAGCCAGAGGAGGTCGCAGCGTGCAAACATCTGTCCTTGTACGCCTTCCTGTGCAATCCATGCCAAATGTTTCTGACTTGTGACATAGAGCTTAATCGATCTTGCCGGTTCGGAAAAAGCTACATCGGACAAAGAAAGAACCAGAGAGGGCAAATATATCAATACAAGGTCAGTTATTTCACATAGCAGAAGATATTCAGGCAAAACTCACTCGTAACCACAGTTTGTTGACGCTTGGAACCGTCATTGGCACCCTTGCCGATAACGCAGCGAAGAAAAAGGCCGACCATGTACCATACCGAAACTCCAAGTTGACGCGTATGCTCCAGCCATCGCTCTCAGGAAATGCGCGCATCAGCGTGATATGCACCATTAATCCCGATCCTGGCGCGGTTTCTGAGAGCATGAGCACATTACTGTTTGCCAAAAGGATCAAGAACGTCCAGGTAAATATCTCTCAGCTTCCGGCAGACGAGGGATGACCCTGATCAAAATCCTTAACATTAGCTCAATGCAAAGAAGAAAGAGGTTGTTGACACTGACGCTCTCATTGAACGCTACCGCAAAGAGATCGAGGAGCTCAAAGCACGCCTAGCAGAGAGAGAAGCAGAAGTTCCGGTTCGAAATCGTCGACTTTCTGCACGCGAAGTACGTTGACTCCGCGACTACTTGACCCTCCTGGTTTCTGATTTTTTTTTTGTTAGCAAATCGACGAGTCCAAGGCAATGCGCGACCTCAATGGAAGAATTCAGCAACTTACCAAACTCATCCTCACCAGCGCCACTGTCGACGAGAATAAAGAAGGAGACAGCGAGAGCCGACCCGCCAGTCCTGTCAAGATTGACTTCGACATGTCGCCTTACCAGCTGCAGCAAGAACTCCTAGCTGCGCGACTGCAAATCGAATCGCAGGCAAACCAGATTTTATCACTCGAAGCATCCTTGCTAGCTCGTCCACCGTTGCCTGTAGACGCACCCTCCGATGAGAAGGATAAGCTCATTGCTGAACAGACAAAGACGATTCGAGAGCTTGAGATCGTGGTTCGCGGATACGAGGAGAATTTGGGCGAGCCGTTGAGGCAGGTCAAGGAGGATGTTGAGAAGGAATGGTCCGAGAAGCTTGATGAGGAAAGAAAAAGAAGCGAGAAGAGCGAAAAATGGGCAGAAGAGGTCGTCAAAGCACTGGAGAAGGAGAAGAAGGTCAGTTTGCTGAATTTTCTGAGTGAAAGCGCAAATGCCGACTTAAATTTTTCTGGAATGATAGGCGAGACAAGCGCTCGAAGAAGAAAGGCGTGCCCTGGCGGCCTTCGTTTCAAAATTCGATTCTCTAGGCCTTAGTTTGTCCGCTCCTCCATCCAAGCTGAGACCACCCATGCCCACCCCAGGAGGCGCTATGACCGCTTACGAGCGACGCCAATCGCGCCCCTTCTCAAGTAACGCAGCCAGGCTTCCTCGCATCTCCGACGTCACCGTCACCCAAGACTTCACCGGCGTCAGCCAGGATTTAACCGGCTTTTCGGAGAGCAGCCCCATGCGTTTCGATCGAACAGCAGTGCGTTCGGAGCCGAGTTTATTTGACCAAGCGATGCTCGAGGAGATGGGCAGCGTTGACGTGAGTTTTGATGAGATTGAGGTGGAGAGGCAGTTGTTGGAGATGTCCGTCTGTGTCCAGCCTGGAGGCGCATCCGCTGCGAAGATGTTCAGCGGATTGGAAAAACCTGGCTTTCCAAAGTCAAGAGATGTCTTTGTTGACAAGGAAAACATCTTACCATAGGGCTGAATCCGTCGCCAATTTACACCCTGTAAGAACGTCGCCATCTGACGGAATGCCGCTTCTGTTTCGATTGCTGGTCAAGCCTAGCGAGCTGTATTCTTGTTTTCGTTCTGTATGTCGTTCTGTTGTTCGTTGCTTTTCTGTCGTTCCGTTGTTCCATTGCTATGTTGTTACGCATATATGATACCAATCCTCTTTCTGTACTGTTTGCTTCGTCTGAAACCATCATGGACTGTAAACAAACCTTCCCACATACATTTTCCGTGTTCGCGAAGGACATGCAGATCTGACAAATAAATCCTCAACTTCAAAGATATGCAATTTTCATTCGGATGATACAACAGAGCGACAGACTTTTCAGAAATTGTTTTACAGGAGCGTATATCAAGTTGATTGATAGCACATCTCACCGATGTTCACTGTTGTCCTGCACCTCAAGGTTTAGGATTTGTACAGATGGTGCTTCTTGTGCCAGCCTTCGAGTGAATCTGGTCCATAGTGCTCGTAAAGTTCCTTCTTTCCCTCAGGAAGGCGGACATATGCGGGCTTCGAATCGAGGAGTACGCAGGTCTGAGTATTATACGATCAGCCTAGGGCCTCGACGTTCAAAAAGAATACACGACTGACCATCGTCTCTGGAGATTCCAATTCTGGAGAATCGATAGCAGATGCGAAAGGATGGATCAACTCGGGCCTTTGAGGATATCATTATAGTCAGCTCTGGAGAATGTTTCCGGGTGAAATTGACATACCAAGATGCGTCGTAGAGCCATAACATGGAGGAGCATTTCTTACAAAAATTCCTCTCGGAAGACGCGATCTTTTCGTCGGGAGTGCCTCTGTTGAGAACGGCCTTGTATATGCTATGTATCATGAAACATGAGCAATTCATATTTTACAGTTCCAATAGGGCAAAGCGGGCACCTCAAATTTTCCTTCCCTTCCACCTTGAGGCTTTTACTGTGTCCTCCGAGATTAATAGTACCGCCTACCCCGCCGACTTTGCGGCAAATGGAACAAAGGCAAAGCTGATCAAGACCAGATTAACATCATACATGAATCAAAGCGTACGACTCACCTGGTATGGTACTGGCGTACTAGACTCGACTGAAAACCGCACCGCACCGCAGTGGCAACTTCCCTTCAATTCGACAGGCATGGATTAGAACACAGCCGACAAGAGAGGATTTTCAAAAGCTGCGACAGTGTAGGTCTGATCACTTGGAAAGAAGAAGAGATGGATGCTGCCAGGCGATGAGAAACGTTAGTGACGCCAGAAGTGACGTCGTCATGCTGCACATCAGAGTCCAGACATTCTGGACTGCAGGGTTATTTTCCGTTGCTGGAGCATGGAGATTGTAGAAAACATGGCCGTTTGCAAAT